TGGCAACGCTGCCAGATGGTCTCTTCTTGGGATTTGGCCAAGGATTTACTTTAATCCTTAGGAATTGCACAATTTGAAAAGTGAAGTTTCAATTTCACTTGTACTTAATAGCTATTCTTTCAGGCATGTGTATTCTTCTTTGTTGACGTTATTGATCAAAGGGCATGTTGTACACTTACTGGGCAAGAACGGTATTCTTCCATTTCAGAGCGGCATCTAGCTCATCTATTTATGTTGTCCCAGCATCAGTGACAACAAGCACATTAAAGGGCTTATTAAGGCAAAACAACAGCAGTACCAAAACAAAGACCAAGCCCAGTGTGGAATACTATAGACCGTCTAATAAAATAAAAGCTGGCCTCTTGCAAAGCAACTGCACCCCCAGGATGTTGCACTGGGCACCGTGGACCGATGGAGTCTCCACGGCAGACAGGATGGAGAGAGATCTCAGGGAGGGTCGGGAAGGTGCAGCAGATGGAGCACAAGCCCTGTGAGGCCCTTCCTCTGCCTCACCTCTCCCATCAATCCGTGACAGACCCGAGAAAAGGAGGGTGGAAGAGGGCACAGGAACAGGACAAGAGATAGAGGACAGCTGTTGATGTCATTTCACAAAATATCACAGCTGGAAGGATCCTTAAACACACTGAGCTTGACTGCTCCTTACTCCAGACTGAGGGGCCAGAGAGAGAAAGGAACGTGCTCAACCAGGGCAGCTGGTAGCAGCGTTGGCTCTAGGACCCAGCCAGGGTATCTGATGCATGTTCTTCGCAGGAAACTGGCCAGGGATGGCACTGCTTAATTTTCAAAGCAGACATGGTTTGCAGTAGGCACATCCCACCTCCATTTTTCACCTCTTGTGGTGCCCTCCGTTACCAGTCCCTAAAGAGAGACCCAATGCCCTCAGGCCGCCCTCCAGCTGCCCAACAGCCCTCCAGCCCCGGCTCCACTTCCCAGCACACTGATGACAAATAGCTCTTGGAAAAGAGATTCCTTTAAGCAAATTCACATAAATATTCTAACTGGTACTTTATCTCCCTTATCTTCTCAGTAGGATTACTTTGGAACCCAGATGAATTTCTAAACCTTAAATATTTAAGGTGGAATGAGGAAGGGATTTTTATCTTTTCAAGACTAGTCAGCCTGTGGGGCAGAATTAGTCATGGTTTTGCTCTATTTCAAGTCATAAAGTGCTCAGGACTCAGAAAAGGCAAAGGGGAAAAGGCACCTCTTTGTCCCAGGTTTTTTAAAAAAAATACAGTAAATTTGTTGATGGAAGTCTTGCTTCTATAAAAAAGGCCATAACAATGAATAAACACTTGATAAAGGTAATCACACAAAAAAGGGGGGAATACAATATTTGTATACCTGTAAGATACTGCTATGTATATATTTTCTTTCTTTTCTTTTTAAAATCTAAATACTGTGAACTGTCCAGGCATTAACCCAGCAGAGCTCTCTGGAGTATGGGGCAACAGTAGTGCTAAGTTAGATTTGGAATCTGGATTCGGGAATAGATGAGGGGACTTCTACTGGAGCCCTTGAGGCCAACTCATGGCTCTAAGAACCAATGATTTAGAGGGAATATTTGATAGAGTCCATTTTAGTGAGGGATTTTGTTTCTAAATGGGGTTACGTTTAAAGAATAGCAGAGTGTAGGGCATCTAAAGAGATATCAATCTCTGAAAAACATTTTAGTGGGGGGATAAATGGTGATGGACGTGGAGACTTGACTTGGGTGGTGAACACAACAGAACAATGTAGATGACGTGCTGTAGAATTGTGCACCTGAAACCTATATAATTTTGTTAACCAGTGTCACCTCAATAATTTCAATAAAAAGGAAAAAAATAAAATGAAAAAAAAATAAAACGAATATAGTTTAGGGATTTGTTTGAATTCAATCTAAGATTATTTTCGAATTTAGCTCATATAGATAGTGCCGGTATTTCATAGGGGGTTCTTATATTAGACTAAATACAGGATGATTTTCCAGGATGGAAATTGTAGGTAGTAGGAGATTGCAAATCCTGGAAGGATACCGAATAATGCAGCAGATGTCTGTCAGAGCTGAGTGATGGGTATTTGGGTGAAGGAAGGAATGATGACAACAGGTAGGGATTCCAACCCAAGAAAAGCAGATGTGTGGCTAGAATGAGGGGTAAGTAGGACAGAGGGAGGGAGGAAGGTGGAAAGGTGACCTGGAGATGGGACTGTTGCAGACAAGTGGCGAGCACAGTTCCTCCTCCCCTCTCCGTCTCCCTCCCCCTCCCCCTCTCCTCTTTTCCCTCCGCAAGTGCTTCTTAAGGTCGGGGACTGGCTTTTCCTCCCACTCAGCGCTGCCTCGCTGCCTTGCGGCCTCGGGCATGGACACCACCAGCGCTCCCGGACTTCAATGGCTGGGACATGCAGGTTCGGGTTCGGTTAAATGCACAGCTCTGCCCTGGATCTGGGCTCCTGCTTTTTCTCTCACGGTGTTTTCCTGCGGCTGATTATTCCGGGCTGCTTAATGGACACAGAATTACATGTTTTGTGTATTGCCCAGACCTAAATGCTTTTTCATTACAACTTAGCTGCACTCCCCCAGCGACTCTTGTCTTCGAAGGTTCCAGCCCTTCAGGAACCTCCTGGCGCCGTGGTCCGATGATTTCATGAGTGGTGTTGGTGTCTTCTTTAGGTTTCTGGTGAGGTCTTAATCTGTGCCTTTCTGGTCAACTCCATTACGCTTCTTCTTTCTGGTGGCTACTTATTCCATTTAAGGCTTGTTTTCGCTCAGTACTTGATAGCTTGATAGTATTTGCCAGACAATAAGCATTTAAAACAGTGTCAATAAACTAAACTGGCAAAAAGAGAAAAACATGACATTTTTCTTTGCTGGAAAGAGAGCTTTTTCATGTTGGAAATGCAAAAGGCACCAAGTGAAAGATCTGAGCAGCTCAGTAGGATGAAAGTTCATGCTTCTTCGGGAGGAAACGTGGTAACCACTGTATTAAAAAAATTCTACGGATTTCTTTTAAGGGGCCACATATTAACTGTAGAAGTCAATACATTCCAAACGTTCTACAGGGTAATAAAATAACCAATATTTATAAAGCTGTTTATATTACAGAGCATATTAACATAATTGTTTCATTTACTAATTTGAACCACCTCAGGTGTTAAAATTCTCATTTTAGGTAAATGTTCTTCTCATTTTAGAGTTGAGGATGCTGCTAATCAAAGGTCATGACCTGTGAGTGGCAAAGCCAAAATCTGACCTCTGGTGGCTGTCTTTCCAGTTGACAGAGAAAGAGGGAAAGTGTGGAAACAATAGCACCAGTCATCCTGAATACGCAAAGGTACTAGAGACGTTTTTTATGAGAAACTTTTCATGCAATTAGATAAGCCTTCTCCCTAACAGCACACAGGTGACCCCTAGCTGAAGTCGGCTGAATGGGAGGGTGAGTGAGGAGAACTGGTTAAAAAAGCCCAAATCCATCAGGACTCAAACTGTTTATTTGGATAAAAGGTAGAAAACATAGTCTAGCATTTATCCAGTTATCTAACACAGAGGTGAATATTTTTCTTGCAAAAAGAAGGAAGGTTTCTTTTAGGCCACTGTGAAGAAATCCAGTAAATTTCTGGCAAGAATGTACTCATATATTTGGTAAAGTACAAGGTCTGGATCCCCTTGCTACAGTGTTTTAGATTTTCTGCATAGGGTTGTTACACGTGTTTTCTGAGATGATGATGTCCTCCTTGGAAGTATAGCAGCCTTGACTAAATAAGATCCAGAGGTAGAGGCCAGTGGGTGCAGGGAAGAATGACTTTCAGATTCCCTGGGGAGTATTTGTAGGTCTTGGTTAAATAACATCAGACCCTATGCCTCACGTTAAGTGTGCATATTATTTGAGAACATGCTTCTCAACTGTAATATACAGTGTGCAATTTAAAAACATACTCTGCTTCAGTTATTTATTGCTATATCACAAATCATGCCAAAATGTAGTGGCTTAAAACAATAATGATTCAGTATTTTCATACTTTTGTGGGTTGACTGGGCTCAGCTGGGCCGTTAGCCTGCTCTACTTGCTGCTGGCGGGGGAATACATTCAGCTGATGGCTGCACTGAGTGGGAAGGTCCAAGAAGGCTTTACTCACACGACTGGCCCTCTGGCGTGCTTCCAGCGGCCTCTCTCTCCATGTGGCCTCTTATCATGGTTGTCCAGCCTATGCTTCTTTACAGCATGGTGGCTGTCTCCCCCAGAGACGGAAAACAGAAACTGCCAGGCCTTATAAGGGGTTGGCCCAGAAAGGCATAGGGGCACCTCTGCTGCCTTCTATTTGTCTAAGGAAGTCACAGGTCACAAGGCAGGGAGGAGAGAAGGAGACTTCACCTCTTGGTAAAAGGAGAGGAAAAGTATCAGTATAAAAGGCACTGGGATGGGAGAAATCGTTGCAGTTATTGATGGAAATAATTGGCTGTACTCTTTCAAACATAAGCACCATTAAAAAGAATGAGAACAGAAAGGTTAATTCAAAAGAAAATAAAAGAACTGAAGCATATGTAAATAACAACCTCATTCATTGTTTTAATAATTGTTTTTCTCTCTTCTGATCATCAGTCTGAGTTTGGTCTTGAGCCTTTTCACTTTTTTAAACCACAAAAACGACTGGGATAGCCTGGAATTAAGTTTCAAGAAAATTTCATATCTCATAGCTTAAGTATTGTAAAGAATGAGAGAAATATTCCGATGAATCGAAACAAAAAGAATCTTATAGCCTAAAAGTAAAGTTGTAAAGATGTTTTCAGGAATAAACATCTAGCCAGTCAGACTGGAAAAGATGTTAGTTTTTCCATTTGTAAAACTTCTCAAACCCAAGGCACAGAAAGGACTAGCTGCCATGCCAGCTGTTCAGATGTTCCCACCAATGGGAAATTAAATCAGAGGGTCTGGGATTTATACGTGAAGATGGCAGTTTTTCTTACCTAAATATAAAGCATTAGACAATGGACTAATAGCTGAGTAAACAGAAATAAGGAGACAGGTATACTTCTAACTTTTATTAAAATAAGTTAAAGAACACATTCAGGTTAAGTTATATATACAAATGTAAAGTCACCAAAGTATTTAATCCCACACTAAGGTTTTCTAAATATCTTAAGCTAAATTTTAAAAATGCTATGTATTTATATAGTTAACATAATAAAATAAAAAGGCTCTGCAGTGAATTGTTTCCAGCAGCATATCTGCCATTGTGCTAATCATCAAATGCTAATTAATATATAGCCACAATCCCATGTGATTTGAAATACATTATAAAATAATAAGAAGACACACAACGTCCTCAATGGACAATATTCAGAGATATGGTTAGTGACTAGTGTTCATAGCAGAAAATTTTTAACTTTATAAATACAAGTCATTTATATGCCTGTTAGGTAGGTAACCGATTCTCAGCTTGAGTAAGTTATAGGTTGTATGTGAGGTTTACTGAGCCTGAGTCCCTGCTGCTGAAATATAAAATGAGATATATTTGTAGAATTCCATTAAGTTGTCATTTACTGAAACTATTAAAAGTTTTACTGAGGTTAGAAATGTATAAATATTCTTTGCCTTAATGGTTATCTTAAATTAACGTTTCACAGCACGTGTGTCATTTCCAAGCTAATCAGTTAGATTAAAACATCAGAAAGTGATTCCACATTATTCTGCATTTTAAAAGCACACCTGTTTTATTTAAATTAAAATCTAGTGACAATTAGCTTTAAAATCTTCTTTACTTTATAAAATTTAGCCTTCATTAGAGGGTTGTCTGCAAACTACTATTGACTTGATAGAACTAGCAGGGAGTAGTTTGCGCGCGCGCGTGTGTGTGTGTGTGCGTGCGTGCGTGCGTGCGTGTGTGTGTGTGTGTGTGTGTAAGAAATCAAGCAAGTGAGAGATGAGAGAGAGAGAAATAAAAAGAGATGTCTGAGCTCCTGGCTAGGTCATATACACCCATAATTTACCTTGGTATTGCTAATGAAAAACAATCTTTAGAAAGCATCTCCTAGTGGGAGATTTGTCCAGGACACCAAGCTGAAGGGGAGCCTTGGAGCATCTAGTTTACTCTCTTATCAGACAAGTGAGAAAGCAAAGGCACAGAAAACTTACCTGTCTACAGAGAGAGTCAAGCCAGGCCTAGAACTGGGTGTCCTAACTCCTAGATCACGTGATAGTGCTATTATCCTCTAAACTACCACTCTTAAAGGCTTTTAGCTGTCTACTAAGACAAGAATGAAGTTGCTGAGTTAGAGATTTTAATCTAAGACAAACACATACACATGTACCCAGGATATTACTTTAACCTGTGAGTGGCATTATAGCTTTATGTCTTAACCATATGCATTAAAAATCTGTCTATTTGCAATTCATCTAATATCTTACACTGACTCCAGGGCCCGGGATTGAGCCTGCAACCGAGGTATGTGCCCTAGGCAGAAACTGAACCCGGGACCCTTTGGTCTGTAGGTCAACGCTCTAACCACTGAGCCAAACCGGCCAGAGCTCAAAAGTCTCTTGAATACAACTTTTAATGCTCAGTCTAGTTAAAATAATCTTCAAAACGTCACCCCTAAAAGGGCTTTGTGTGGGGCAAGTAGGAACAATTAATACATTCAAATATCACCAGGACTGAAACAGAGACTAAAGAACGTCCAAGCAAACAGGCTTACGGGGCTGCTACAAGTCTAATGAAATGTCCTTTTCTCTGCTGTATTTCCTTCTTCCCCAAGCAGCATGAGCACTAAGAGGAAGTCTGCATTTTTAATTCTCTACTAAATGTGCCCTGTGCTCTGCAATTAAAAAAAAAAAAAACCACAACAACTCAAAACTGCGTGGAGATTCCCAAGCACAGGTGCGGAAAGTCAAGAGAAACCAGGGCTCGCAGGGGTCATGCTGATGTGGAGAAAGGGGGCATTCAGGTGGTACCACTCACCAGTAGTATTGGTGCAGCGCCAAAAAAAGAGCTATGTAAATAAACGGGCGAGATGAGTCCCAGGTAAGCCAGAAACTGTGCAAGACTGTGAAGGAAAGGCATGGTTACAGAACCCAGTGGGCTTCTTCGAAGAGCCCAGGGCAAGACTATTTGCTGAGGATAACTTCTACCAAAGTCATGACAATCTGGGTACTAGACCCAGAAGTGCAACCGTCTTTCATGTGGCCGGGAAGTGCAAGGGGATCTGTGCAGCAAAGAGGTGAGAAATATGCACTGGAAACAGAAAAAAAGCTGCAGTGTGAGATTTGTGCGCCTGGGTGATTCAGGCAGCAGCCGGCTACGTGACCTGGGTCACTCAGGGAAAGTCAGGCATGCAAGTGTCATCAGAAGAGTATCATTCTTCCCGGTAATACGAATGCGTCAGAACATTTTCTAAGCATTACATGCTTTCTCCTCTCCAGTGATACACAAATGATGGATTTGTCTAAGGAAAACAAATTCAGAAATGCTCGTTTGAATTCTTAAATGTAAACAAGAATAAGGGAAGATGATGACCTCCCAACCTCTGCTCCAAACTCCATTGTTGTTTGAGGCACAATTACAAGCAAAATGGGTAATGGAGTCTTGCCTGTCCTGATTTCTGCGTGTGTAGCTTATATACACATAATGAGAGTTGGCGTGGCAGGAGTGGTTTGGCAATAAAGAGGCTTATGTGATAAAAGCACTATGAAAGCTAAAAAATCTTTTAGCAAAGTTGCCTTTTATTTCTCATTTTCTTTGCACCTGCGGTATCATCTTATTAAAAATTAAAAAAACATACAACTCTGAAGAGGCACACTCTTGATAATAAGATGAAAAGAAGTCCCTAGCAGCCTATGTTCACACTCAGAATGTTAAATGGCCAAATAAGCCCACTTAGAATATCCTTCCAGCGAACAAGGAACTATTGCTTAGATGCCATAATTCTTTAGTAAAGAGATGCTCCCTAATAACTGAATGAGATTCTCTGGAAGTTTATAAGCCAAGTTTATAAGTGCAATGAACTTTCAGAGGTGAATATAAGGTATTACTATGTTTTCTTAAAGACACTTTATGCTTAGTGTTCTGGTGCCAGATAAAAGGAATTTCTGAACCTAGGTTATTTGCAAAATGTTTGAGTGAGCATTCCAAACCTAAGAGCCAAAAAGAGTTGATGAGATAATTTTAATATTTATTGATATTTGGAGCATCACTCTTTTGTGTCTTTATGCCAGACAGGGATAGACAGTCCATGCTATGATTTACATGAGTTCCTTGTTAGCAAACCAAAAGTATTTTAAATATTCCGTATCATTCTTAGATGTCCAGGATAACAGGAACCTACTATGATGCTTCACAATTTATTATTATAAATATGTATGTATATATATGTACATAAGTTTGTAGGTAGGCAGGTAGGTCTGTCAAGTTTACTTGGGAAAATACCCCAACGTAAACTGGGCTCACCTACTGAGGTGTTCTGTCTGTCTGCTTCTTTTTTTGGTAAGAGCCACAGAATGAAGGTAACTGAAAGATAATCTTCCTGCTCTCAGAAACATTTACAGATGCACAAGTTTAAGGTGGAACAAGTTCACAGAGGCTGTGGAAGCAAATGTTTGGGAGAGATTGCAGACAATAAATTATTCAGGAAGTACATGCAGGAAGACAGATTTAGGTACTGAGATGCAGCCAGGAGGAGAAAAGGCTGAGGAACCATGATGGACAGAGGACAGCATTAGAGTCGGCAGCCAGTTATCCCAGGGCATCATGAGGAGGGTAACTCCTCGCAGCTCATCCACTACTTGGTATGTATGACATTTTCTCCAGCTGGCTTTAAAAATAGAATCGTCAACATCTCATGGGACAGGGAAAGTAGAGTCTGTCCTGGAATCAAGGAATAAACCTAGATGACATTTCAAGGTTCCCTTCCTACACCAATACAAAAACACAATAAAATACCAGCATTATGCAACAGGCCTGGTTACAATAAGAGTGAATTAAAAGGCAGAAACATCATGTCATTCCTCACACAAACAGCAGCGAGGCAAGCTATTTGATATTGCTCTAAGACAGTATGTGGTCAGTTGAAGCAAGATGATATATGTAAAATCTTTTTCATAAATCAAAGTATAAGCCCACAAATTCTCAATATAAATTGCCTCAAGAGGAGCTGCTCTGATGAAATTGAAAATATCTCCTCCATATGTGCACTTCAGACTTTATAACATTTAAAGAAAATGCTCTAAAAGATAAAGTCGGCATGTGAAAAGCACAGGCAGAGGAATCAGTAATGATCAGAGCAAAAACAATTCTAGAAGGCATCTTAATTTTCATATGGCTCATTTGCATTTGAAACACTGAGAGTTCCTATCTCTCTTGTACAAACATGTGTACATATTAAATTACTTTCCACTTGAAAGAACATTTCCTAAATGTTTGGGAGGTGATCAAATTTTAACTGGAGGACTTGTTTTCTTCCATCGGGTGTGGGGGAGATGTGGCTTCCTGGTATGAGAGGCAACAGTTGATTCTAATAGCAGAACAAGACAAAAATGAGAAAGTAAATTGAAAACAATTCCTATTTGTACAGTTTTTGAAAGGTGGCAAAAAAGGATACATATGGTACAAAGATGTCAAAAGACATGGATTTTAAAATTATGTAGAGCTGCCTTTCTAAAAATTGTGATATTCTGATACTTGAAAATTAGATTCTATTACTTATTCTAGGCTTCTCAATACACAAATTTCTAAGTATCTAGTCAGTGTTTAAAAGATGGATACCCACCAGCTATTAAACAATAATTCCAAGAGTCTACATTCTGCCCATCAAATTTTAAATTTTAGGATATTGATTTTAGGATATTGGCAGGACAGCAAAGATTAAAAACCTTTTTCCTGTCAACTTGAAACAATATTTAGTCTTAAGGAATTTCTTGGTCATCCTTTCAGAGATCTAGAAGTTGGTATCCAGGTAGAAATCTGAACTCACAAAATGAAACCATACTGAACGAAAAGATCTTTCTGAATTTTTTTTTCTTTTGATAATCAGGTAAAATATCTAGGAAAGAGGTGTGTGCTCAAAAAGAAAACCAGGACTTGAAAGATATTCCTGTCTTTCTCTTGGCCTTGCTCGCCAAAGACTCCACTTGATGGAGAAAGATGTTTGGGCACTGTTTCATGGTGGGGGCTCCAGTGGGGCTACTACACAGAGGTGGACAAGATGCTGTTGACTAGGACAGAGAACATAAAATCTTTGTAACTGAGATTATCCAGGTGCATGCTGCTCTTTGTGTTTCTTTTTCTTCTGTTATCCTGGGTCTCTGGGAAGGTCTTCTGCAAAGTCCCTGATCTTTATCAGTGGGCTACAGGGTATTAAGGAACGGGGAGCACAGCTGTGAACTGGAGATTTAAAGGGAGAGCACATCCCCACCCTATTTGAGGACAGTGTGGCAGAACTTGAGTTGGGGACCACAAGGCAGGATGGAGCAGTGCTACTGTCCACCCTCCCAGGCCACAGGTGAGGAATCTAGAGAGATGTTTTTAAGGGGATAATGTTTTTACACACAAGTCACATGGTATTTCAGATTGCTGCCTCAGACTTATTTGAACGAACCCTTACCTTTTGGTTAAGTAAACTGTATTGAACTTAACTTGCAAACACGTAACTTTAACAGTAAAAGGTAAAATGGTCTATGTAATACAGATTTGGAGAACTAGAGGTTTTAGAAACACAGAAGTCATCTTAACATTTCTTCTTCTTATTAGTTTAATCTTTCTCTTCCAAGAAACTTCTATTTTAATTATCAAACAGGTGGAAAAAAAAAGACTGCTTTCTTTCTTTATGGTGACATGCTAATGAGAAGATAAATGACCAAAAAGTAGATCAAAGGTGGAAGATTAAGCAAATGCAAATGAAATGATTGTCAGTCTCTGGTAAATTAAAAATTACCATCTTGGCTTATTAATAAGCAGTGGTCATCTATTTAGTTATTTGGATCATAGTTATTAAGTACCGTCTATGTGACAGATACTGTTATAGATGTTGGGGATGCAAGATGAGGGGGAAAACAAACCCCAAACAAACTTACTTCCATGAACTTTATGTTTTAACTTCAAAGTTCCTGAAAGCAAGTAAAAAGTAGTCACCTAATAAACTGCAGAATCAACGTTTGTCATCCTATTTACCATGTTCTTCTGCAATACTGGCACATCTGAGGATAAGGTTCGGTCACCATATATCTGAGTTTCATCCCCATGCACCTGGCCAGAGTTGTCCTTTCTTCAAGAAAAAAGCTAGGAAAGGCAGACTTAGGTGCCTGCCCTGGGTGAAAAGACAGGAGAGTCAAGTGTCCTTTACTGCACGTCTGGGGGCTACCGAAAGGTACTGGGATTCCTCTGTGCCACTGGTTTAAACTCAGTCCTGCTATAATCAGGGTTTTATTGTATAAAACTGCTGTGTTTTGGGTACATGCTCTGGCGGGAGGGATATCCAATCAGTGTAACAAAAGAATTGTGCAATAATTTGATGTAAGTGTATTTGGAATAAGACTTTGTAACAATCTGGATATTTTCATAGCTTTATGATTTTATTACATCAACGAGTACTTATTAGGTAAACAAATACAACTAAACCAGTGCAAAGATAAGGTCTTGGTGTCCACCTAGTCTCACTTTGAAAGGTAGAAAAAGGAAAAAATGTCATTTTTATAGCACTTTAACTTTTGAATGGAGGTACCTGCTGCCGTCTTTTGTTTCTTCCCTCGTTACGTGCTTTTCTTTTAATTTGGTCCTCTCGAGAGGAATCAAAGTAGGGGCTCTCCAGGAGTTGGGCACAAGTTAATCTGTCATCTGGATTCATCTTCAGACACTCCTTTGGATGGAAAGCAGAGAAGATAGTAAAAGAGGGGCCTACATTGTTACCGTGTCCCAAACCTCTGAGCAGTAACTGGAGAGAGCGGCTGTGAGTTTAGAAAAGCAGGTCTGTGTATTATCCAGTACTTACAGCTTGTTAGTAACTGTAGTCATCTCTGTTCCTCCACAATTTCACTCCAGTACCCCTGCTGGTCACACCTATGGCCTTGACTTCCCCGCCCCTAAACCTCCCTCCACATTCTGCGCTCTCCTCTAACTGGTGTTCGATACTGTCCGCCATGTCCTCCTCCTTGAAACTCTCCTTTTGGCTTCTCTGTGTCTTGCTTTTGTTCCTCCTACATCCTGGCCACTCCTTTTCAAACCAACCTTTTCTCACTTACAGTCTCCTCCACAATGGTTGCATGAAGTTCCTCAAGGCTCAGTCCCAGGTTCCCCTTTCTTCTCATTTGTTCTAAGTTTCTAGCTAATCTCACTGATGCTCGACCGCTTCAATAGTCAAGGTTTACCAGAGATTTCCACATGTATGCTTCTGGTCGAGACCTCCCCTTAGAAATCCAGACCCACAAGGGTAATGGCCTACTTAATATCTCTGCTTTGTCTCAAGGGTACTGTTATGGGTTGAAATGTATCCCCCCCAAATATCTGTTAAAGTCCTAACTCTCAGTACCTCATAATGTGACCTTATTTGGAAATAGGGTCTTTGCAGATGTAATTAGATAAGATGAGGTCACACTGAAGTAGTGTGGGATCTACTCCAATATGATTGGTGTCTTTAAAAGAAGAGGGAAGACACTGCAAAGTCAGACACACACAGCATACATCATGTGAAGACAAGCAGAGCCTGGATTCTTCTATCTGAAGCCTAAGAATGCCTGGGAATACTAGAAGCTGGAGAGGCCAGGAAGGCCCCTCCCCTAGCAGCTTTAGAGAGAGCATGGCCCTGCCAACACCTTGATTTTAGACTTCTGGTCTCCCCAATTGTGAGAATAAATTTCTATTGTTTTTGGCCATCCAGTTTCTAGTATTTTGCTATGATAGCCCTAGGAAACTGATATAGACACCTTCTCTTTGCCCAGTTCCTCTACTTTACTCCCCATGTCTAAATGATCCTCAAGTCCTATCAGCTTTATTTCCAATTATATCTTCATTCACTTCCTTGTATAGATTTTCAGACTACTGAAATCTCGTCTCTCACTAAAGACCTATGAGGTTTTTTTAAAGAGCATTTTTAGATTCTAAGAAGAGACTGTTAAAGCTCAGCTGTTCCATGGGGCCTGAGCTGGAACAGTATCCTGCTTGATTAGTTTTAGATGCACTGAGATTAACTGGATGGAGTTGAGGATTCTGAGTTCTTAGCTGCCTGATTAATATCTTTCTGTACACCAGGAGGTGCTCCCTGATCAAAATGCTCCTAATCTGGGACAGGTTTTAGAGATAAAGGACAAGAAATTGGAACTGCAAAGGCCAAGTCGGGATCCTTTTCCTGAGACTGCAAATTTCACAAAAAGCCCTTCAACAAAATTTCCAAGAGCCTACAGTCTTCTTCTTGATGACCAGATAAAACTGATATAGTGATAGATGGAGACATGAGTAATAAAAAAGTATTATACCCATTGTCTCATTTTAAACCTAATGAAAGACCTGCCACATACTGGCCACTGCATTGCCACCGCTGCCCGTGGCACTGACCTTGGCTGGCACTTCACCCACTTGAGCAGCTTCCTGCCTAGATTATGACCTAATCCATGGGATAACTACCTGTTAAAGTAGCTGGTACTTATCTGTTGTTACAGATGTCTCAATTGCAATTAATGAAAGAAAGCTCACCTTCAACTAACATGGGGGCAGGAGTATACACATAGGGTGTGGCCCACCAAACAGCACAATCTTTGATGCACTTACGAGAGTTCTTGGGTCTCAGGTCAAACATTATGGGTCTAAATCAAACAGCTGAGTGACAAAAGTACCTTCATTTAGAATCTGGGGCCGGCCAACAGGGCACTCCACCTTTGGAGATGAAGATAGGGAGTTTGTTCCATACGGTGGAGTTTTTGTGCCCTGGAAGTTTTCTCTCTGAGTTGGAGGAGAAACCACAGGAAGGCCCGGCCTCAACATGAGAATGGATTGGGTTTGCAATGCTTGACACTCCCCAACCCAGCCACGCTGGGTTTTGTTAAATTGTAAGTGGGTCACACGACTTGTCCAGAAAAAGGTCAGAAAGTTGGGCTTCCAGGACAGGGACTGCAAAGTGCTGGGTTAAGGCAGGTCACAGCAGTGAGACAGGCAGAAGACAGCTGAGGTCCAGTGGAGCAGGGGTAAGGGCAGCCTGAGAGTGGAGAGGTGTCAGACTCCGAATCTCAGGACTCAGGCTGAAGGAATCCAGCACCCTGGATAGCACCTCCACAGCGACCTGCACTGGCACAAAGGCTGGTCTGCGGAGTTGACTCTAGGTCATCCAGATGGCTCTACCTTCTAAATCACGAGTTTCAAACTGGGCTGCTTATCAAAATCACACAGGGGGATGTTTAATGATATAAATTCTAAGGTCCTATTTATAGAGATTCTGCTTCTGTAATCTGAGGTTAGATACTGGAATGTGTGTTTTTAAAAAGCTCCCAGGTCATTCTGATGAGTAGTATGGAAACCACTGCTATAAATAGGACTTAATTGATTGTTAAAGATAGATACTCTTCCTGGTAGCTCCATCCCTGTCCCCTAAGGGCTCTTAGTGTCCATTCTGATGGAAGAGTCCCATCTAGCATGGCCTCGGTGGGTCAAGAATGAATAGCAGACTGGTCATAGGTGAGTTTCTTAGACTTTTTATTAGAATTTGTCCTTTTAGGCCTGGTGCAGAGGCTATACATGGTATCTATATAGCTCTGACTTTGCCTGGTCTTCTACTGATTTTTAAAAAATAACTAAAAATGTTATTTAACCCAGTATATTTAACATGTTATCAGTTCAACATATAATTAACATGGTGAAATATTAACAATTAATATTTTAAATTATTAATGCAATATTTTATACTCTTTTTTTTTATAGTAATTTTCCTAGAAATCTAGCACATCTCAATTCAAACAGGCCATTTCAAGTGCTCACTAGTAACGTGTAGTGGCTACCATATTGGACAGTGGAGTTCTAGACCTTCAGACTTAAGCAGCACATTCACCCTCATAAACTTCCAAAGTCTGAGTATAGCAACTTAATATTCAAATTTCTAATGAATGTGAAAGAAGTAATGGTGTTCGTCACAGCAAACTCTAATGATACTCTTTTATCCCCTACTAATTAAAAAGTTATTTTTTTAATCCTTTTATTGACTTTAGAGAGAGAGAAACACTGACGAGAGAGAAGCATCAATCGATTGCCTGTACGGGCTCCACAACCTAGGTCTGTGCCCTGACTAGGAATCAAACTAGCAATATTTTGGTGTAGAGGACAACCAACTGAGCAACCTCGCCAGGGCCGTCTCCTACTAATTTCAATAAATACGTTAGAAGGAGTACTGCCTATACCATGATTGTTCCTTTAACTATAATGACTTTACAGTTCCTTATCATTTTCAATGACTACATCTTACTTTGGCATTATTTGCACTACTGTTCACTCCTCCCAGAGTTACCAGCTTCAATCATTACAATTTTCAGTCAATAACAGTTATAATTGATTCTTAAGTACCTTCATGAAATTCAAAGCCATGGGATGAGCATCTGAGAATTTTTCTTCAAGAGTTTCCTAGAACACAAAGTAAAGACTTTCAACATTACATAATAACAAAGTAATGTATATCTTGAATATGTTAGTAATAAGGACACTTTGAAGACAGACCTACTAGTAGGTTAGATAATTTCTTTTAAAGATTTTAAAAATTATTATTTTACATAATTTTACAATATAGTGAAAGATTTGAAAGAAAAAAACTGGAGTTATTTTCTTAATTTCTCAATGTCTTGCAATTGATGTTTGGTAAATATGAGCTCCAAATGTCCCCTTCTGAAATACTACAACAGTCCTATAATATCTGTGCCTGATCTACTTATAGGAATACTTTGAGAACTAATGAAAATTATACTGAATGACACGTGTAAGAGCAACACAGAAAGCAAAAGAATATGAACACGAAACTCAGGACAGTGAGGAGGGAGGACAGGACTGAGGGGGAGTCTGCGGGGAAAGGAAGCTTCAAAGAGAATGGTAATAGTCTTCTTTAGGCAGCAGGCACATGTGAATTTGTTGTTTTAGTCTTTAAATTATATATTCTTTTGTAATTCAACCCCTAGCCTTGTAATTCAACTTTTAAGCTTTTCTTATATCTACTGAAATAAATTCAGTATACAAATTAAGGTATTATATGAAATAAATTTAAAACAAAGAGGGTGTCTAGAGATCGTTGGGACCTCCTGAACCTTGGATTGTTCACCTGTGCCATAAATCATGATCTGGCTGTACAGACTTCCCCCTCCCCGCACCTCTCTGGCTCCAACACAGCTTGTTTGTGGACACACGCTTATGGACGGTCCTTTCATTCTACAGGCAGAATCTAGACCATATGGAGTTTTAAAGATCACAGCCCAAATCAGGAAACACAAACAGGAAGTCAATGTCTACAGAATGCAGGAGGGTCAAGTGGTAACTGACACATTCCCAGAGAGAGGCAAAGCCCACAGAGAGTGTGGAGGTAAGCATTGTGCTTTGTAGTTTTGACTTGGATACAATGAGGATCATTTTGTAGAATGATCTTCCATGTGAAAATATACATTGTGAAAAAGTAGTTTTTATTGATTTGAGCTTTGTTTCATTGCTGAAAAACATAGGGAATGCATTTTTTCAAATTAAAGAAGTACTACAGTAAGTACTCTTTATGAGATAATAATCATTTCAGGAAAAAGTACCTGAGTGTTTTGACTAAAAGGATCAGGTATTTGTGTAAGGAACTAAATAGACCTTCACTTCAAATTTAACATTAAATTAATCTTTGGATAGGGCAAGTAAACTTTGTAAGCATTCTCCTGATTCATTTTATACAGTTTCTTTGATCTGTGTTAGTGTGGCATAAGGAAAACAGGAGCTAAAAGTGCAAATGTAAAAAAACACACAACAAAAACCAACTACCCCTTTAAAGAAAGTAGCAACACAAATAATAAAACACCCAAAATCAAGCAGTTACCATGTCTTCTGGTTCAGGAATACTGATGCCATGGAAAAACTGGTTACTTTTAAAGATGAACTGATGTCTTGGGATTAGTTTTCCTGTAAAATAAAAAGCATGTAATTAATGCTAAGTTTATAAAAGTAATATAGTGTTTAAATGGTTAACTTCTGAGGTCCAGATGTGAAAGAAATCCTGATCCTGACTGTGACCTCTAGATTTGGAAGGACTACGTCACTGCAAAAGCATGCCTTCTCAGGCAAGGTCAATTCTCCCACACAACTCTCTGTGCCACATGTAGCTTGGTCTGCCATTCAGCCTCCACCAAAAGAGGAGGTAAGACATGGTGTGGAGGACTTTACACACATCATCTCATTTAATCTCATAACAATCTTACAATGGCTATTTTTAATCTCCATTGCATCAATGAGCATAAGGCTCAGAGTTTAATAACCTGTCTAAAGTCACATGGTTATTTAGTGACAGACTCAGGATTCAAAACCAGGTCTGTCCAATTCCTGCCTAATGTAAATTTCCATGATCCTTTCAGGAAATCAAACAATATACACTTAAGGTGTGTCCTGTCGTGATACTCTACCCCATATTTTTCATGCTACAGAACTGTCCAGAAGGATGTGTTGGAACCAGACCAGACAGCAGTAATTCCCTTGCCCAGCACCCATGCTGCCAGGAGAGCATAAACTATATACCATCTGGTCCTTTATAGAAAAAGCGCTGCTCCCTTCTCTAGAGTAACAGAGAAACCCTCCTCTTACAGCAGATAAAAACTGCATGTGACCCAATACCTCGTAAGAATAAGGTCTATAGCCCAGCCGGGTGTGGCTCAGCAGTTGAGCATCAACCTAGGATCCAGGCGATCGGGGTTCGATTCCTGGTCAGGGCACATGCCCGGGTTGTGGGGTCGATCAATGACTCTCTCATCATTGATGTTTCTTTCTCTCTCTCTCTCTCTCTCTCTCTCCCTCTCCTTTCCTCTCTCTGAAATCAATAAAGATATATTAAAAAAATAATAATAATAAGGTCTATAGCTGCCTCACATTCTGGGTCCTACCTCAGCCCAAAAGAAAAAGGAAATGTGTACTTTATTCCATGGCTAAGTGGCTTGACTTGGAAAAGATCTGAAAACCCCTCAGTGAGGAGTAACGGCTCTACATACTGAGGAAAGGGTTGGGTTCTGGCTACAACCCAGAACAACCACCCTGAGCAGCACCTTGGAGAGGCAAGAAAGCTCCTCCTGTTGGCCATTACAGTGACATGCTACTACTATAACAACTTAGCAGCTCTGTGAGCCATAAGATGCAGCTCCTACCCAGTGTTCTGATTATCAGATAAAGTTGATCCACATCTGATTTTCCAGGCCAGAGTGGCTGGCCTGTCAGGAGCTCTGCAAAAACACAACCAGTAGCCCAAACGTCGACTGAAGAGCCATACTGAGTGTCTCCCACAAGAAGCTCAGGAGCTCGGTACCATCTGGTAGCGACATAATCAGTGTAGGCATCTCCTGGAACTGCAAACGCATGGATCAGGTGAGGTGGGTCAAGTTTTCTCAACATGTGAACTACCCCCAAGAGCAGGTCAGGCCTTGAGGTTAATCTTCAAAAACTCTCAAAGGCCACATGCTCCTAACAGTTCATGCAGAGAGGCTGATAGAGGAAATGG